CTCATGACCTGCTTCTTGCTGGTCGGACTCTCCATATCGAGCAGGGCTTGAATCTTTTCGGGGTTTATTTCTATGCCCCGCTGATTAACCATATACCCCAAGAACTTTCCCAATGACACCCCGAACAAACACTTGAGAGGGTTTAGCTTCATTCTGTAGAGTCGGAGAATGTCAAACATCTCAGCGAGATGCGCAATGTGTTCTGAGGCTACCTGGGATTTGACCAGCATATCGTCCACATAGACTTCCATTGTCTTCCCGATCTGGTCGGAGAACATTCGGTTGACCAACCTCTGATAGGTCGCGCCCGCATTCTTGAGACCGAAAGGCATAACTTTGTAATAGTATAGCCCCCGGTCCATAATGAAAGACGTATGCTCCTCATCCGGCCCATACATCAGGATTTGATTGTATCCCGAATACGCATCCATAAAGCTCAGCAGCTCGTGCCCTGAGATGGCATCAACGAGCTGGTCGATCCTCGGCAGAGGGAAGCTGTCTTTCGGGCAAGCCTTGTTGAGGTCGCTGAAGTCAACACAGGTCCGCCACTTGCCGTTCGGCTTCTTTACCAAGACCGAGTTAGCGACCCAAGTCGGGTAGAGTGCTTTTCGGATGGACCCATTTCGGAGGAGGTTTTCCACTTCCGATTTTAGTGCGGCGTACCGCTCTGGATCCATCGCTCTTCTTTTCTGGCGAACCGGTCTGGCCTCACTGCTAATGTTTAATGAATGGCAAATAATGTCCGAGCTGATCCTGACCATATCTGCATGCGACCAGGCAAACACGTCAATGTTTTCCTTTAAGAAGTCTATCAGCTCGGAAGCGAGCTGAGGGTCGATACAGCTCCCAATTTTTAATACTCGGCTCGACTCTTTTGGATCAACCGGAACTTCGGTCAGATCCTCAACCTGGCCACTAGGAGGAATTTCCTGGACTCGCGGATCTATGTTATCCTCCGCTGGACCGGGCTGAGGCTCAATCCGACTGATCGCCATAGCCTGGCAAGGCACACATCGCGAAATGCCCTTTCTTTTGTCTGCCATCTGCACCGCTTTTATATGGCATTCGCTTTGTGATCCGCTTACTTCCCCTATCCCTGTTGGAGTGGGGAACTTCATCTTGAGGTGATAAATGGAAGTCACTGCCTTGAAGCTTCTCAACAGAGGTCGCCCCATGATTCCATTAAAGGCCTGTGGGCAGTCCACGACCAGGAATTCGGTAACCCTAGTCACCTCGTCATAGTCGCCGAGCGTGACTGGTAGCTGGATTATTCCTCTGGGGATCAGGTGGTCCCCTGTAAAACCATAGAGAGGTATCGAGGCGGGCTTTAGGTCAGCCTCGTCTAAGTTCATTCTATCGAAAGCAGTCTTGAACAGGATGTTCACAGCACTTCCGTTGTCCACAAGCATTCTGCAGACATTATGACATCCTATCAGGGGCGTGATCACCAGGGCATCCTCGTGAGGATGGTGCAAGCGAGCTGCTTCCCTTTCGCAGAAGGTGATCAGCTCCTCTTTTCAAGCCTTTTGCGGTGGCTGCGAAGTGTTCATTACTCTGATCGGGTCGTGATATGCCTCGCGAGCATACCTTTCTTGTGCTCCTCGCGTGTGTCCCGCGAGGTGTGGACCTCCGAAAATTATATTAACACTACTGTACCCGCTGCGATCACGACGCTTTTTCTTTTGCTCCCCTTGGCTCTCCTTTGGGGAGTCATCAATATACTCCTTGAAGTGCCCCTTTTTAATGAGCTCTTCGATTACCTGCTTTAGGGCTCGGCATTCATCAGTGTGATGTCCGTTATCCCGATGGTAACGGCAGTATTTTTTGCTGTTTCTAGCCGTAGCGGGAGTTTTCATTGGTTCTAGCTCACCGAGCAGGCTGGCCTCCTCGGATTTGTCAAGGATCGTAGATATGGACACGTTCAGCGGAGTGTATTGAGGTCTGTCCCTGTCGCGACGAGGAACAGGAGCGTAGGACTTTTTGTGCTCGTAGCGGGGTTTCTTTCCTTTTCGCTGATCATCAATGTCTCCTTTGCGATCAGCTCTTCTACTCTCCCCCCGACCAGACATACCGCTCGAAGCGCCTTGATCGCGGCAGCGGAGTGCCTCCAACGAATTTTCTATCCGGAGATACTTTTCTGCAAGATTGTAAAATCCGGTGAGAGAAACATCGTCCTCAGCCTGCAGTTCTTTCCACAGGTCGGTTTGCGGGCGAACTCCAACCATTATAAGTGTTCGGATGGACTCTTCTGGAGCGTGAGCCACCTTGTTCAGCTCCCTGTGGAAACGGTCGATGTAGGACTGCAGGGATTCGTCTCTTTCTTGCCTTATGTTGCTGAGATAGCTCAAAGGCATCGAAAATTTCCGATTGGCTTGGAAATGCCGTAAGAACGTCGTGCTCATCTGAGGCCACGAACTGATCGATCCTGCTGGGAGCGACCTTAACCACCGTTTGGCGTGAGAAGTGAGCATCACGGCCAAACAGCGGCATTTAGCGAGGTCCGAAACCTGGTGGAGCTCCATCAGGTCGTTGAACTCGTACAAATGATCCTGCGGGTCATGGTTCCCGTCAAATGGTCGCATGTCGGGCATTCTGAACCCTGGTGGGAGTGGAGCAGCTAGCACTTCGGGAGAGAATGGGGATGCAGAGGCGACCTGAGCCTGTTCGCTTTGCTGCTCCCTTAACCTGTCCAGAGCTCACTGTAGCTCCTCAATTTGCAACAACGGGCCCAATTGAGGGTTGCTTTCACCCATGCGAGTACGGCCTTCGCGATTACGGTTCAGGAAAGTCCGGAGGTCGGATTCCTCTTCGCCTCGACCGGCATTTTCGGCCGCACTCAACACACGCTGGCTAGTGGCGTGTGAAGGCGATGGGTTGTGCGGGGCGTTTTCACGACCCTCGCGGTGGTACGAACCGCCCCGCGAGGTGTGGGGGCCACCCGCAAACGATCGGGATCATTCTGCTGGCGGTGATATGAATCATCGCGCCTGACATTTTTGCTTGAGTTTGCTTACGACGTGGCATGGGACAGCTCGGGATTTATTTTTTCGCCGAGACTCAGCTTTGCCGGCACCCTGCTAGGGGCGCGATTTGTGCTCGCTGGTCCTTGGGAGCCCGTAGGCTTACCTTTTGCCACCTGCTTTCCCTTGCGTCTACGCGTTGCAGTGCTCGCAGCTCGGGCTATTGCCCTTTGCGGCGCTTTCGCGCGACCTGCAGGTGTCTTTGGCGGTTGCACCGCCCCAGCTGTTGTAGATGACATGCCTTGGTCCAAACGGTCCAACCTCTGGTTGACCGTCTGGAGAGTATTGTCGAACCTCTCCAGGTAACTTCTAATGGCGGGGTCGAGTTGCGAAGCTGCCGGGATATCTCCCGCAGCATTTTAAGGAACTGGAAGTACCCTGGAGAGGGTATCCCCTTGGGTCAAGGGGACTCCTTCAGGGCGTTGATTAGCTTGCTCAGGTTCTGATTGGCGGGCCATTTGTTACTGTAGGGCCAGTGGGTCGAAGATTCTCCTGATGAAGGGTAAACGCTAAATCAGCCCTCCTTCTAGCGCCAAACTGTTGATGCGTGATTTTAGACACCAACCAACCGACACGTGCGCAACGTTGATTGATCAAGAAGTACACGTGATGGTGAATAAAAAGGAAATAAATGCAATGAGAGCTTTTAAAGTGGTTCGGATGCTAAGGTAGCAAATCCTACATCCACTTATTTGTATTAATATGGTGGGTCAGGTCGCTAAAGCGGACTGACTTACAAATGATTGAAAAGTAAAATACAGAGCCTTTTTGAGAGAGAGAGATTAAATGTCAAAATGATCGAATCCCCTTAATGAAGGGGTCTTCTTCTTCTTATACCCAGCTGAATGCGTGTAATCATCATTAAATCCTTGGGTTGGTGTGAATGTCAGAACATAATCAGGCTTTACGTCCCAGTACCCATTTCCCAAACTGATTTTACGCGATTTGGAGCAGGTAGGCGGACACGTGGGAGCTCCAGGGTGCATGGCAAGCCTGACGTGCGCTTATCATTTTGACGGGAGCAGGCCACGTCTCGTCACGTGACTCCACGTCAACCCTTTATTTTCCGGGCATAACAAAATAGAATAACAATAACTTTTAATAAACTAAACATGCTTAGTTTAATTCCTTACAAATAATCTTAATAACATAATAGAGTTAAATAACTCAGAAAATATATAGATTGAAACAACTGTCAATACTTTGAAGAAAAAAATAACAATACATTTATATATGACTATAAACAATCCATAATCGAAACCTATTTTTATTATTCATTCTCATAAAAATAAAAAATTAGGGTTTGTGAGATAATAGTGGGGTATCAAAAAGATTTATAAAGAACAAAAAATTGCAGTTAAATTTTTATAATTTAATATAAGGACAACTTTATCATTTTATAATTTATAATATTTAATAAAAAATGGGACTTCTTTAGTTTATTAGTAAGGTGCTAAATGCCAAGAGATCTATTGCATGAACACTATTTTTCCTTGGTTATATCTTTTGGACTTTTCTGTTAGGTTTGTCCTCTCCTCTGATCTATTATTGGTCCGGTGGGGATTGTGGCCCAAATAATTACTCTTTCTGCATGTCCAAACATATCTTTTGTAATTGTGACCTTTAACAACAATTTAAATTTTCCTGTTACACAATTGATACCCCTCCAATATCATCCGGAATTTTTTTTTGTTCACCTAGACTAATCTCTCGTGATCCTAAAGTTAAGGACCGATATTAGACATTAGCAATTAAGTTTATTCTAACTCATTACTTCTTAATTAATATTTTTAAGGGTCTTTGTGCAACCACTCGACTATCCAACGGTAGTTTCAATAATTAAATCTTCTATATGTATTATATATGTATGATGAAATCAGTAGTTCAACTGTATAAGTTTATACATAAAATGTTACTCTCTTACTCTCATCCACTAATTACTGGAGAAATCATTTCTCAAAACAAAGCTAGCGAGCAATATACTCAAGAAATCATCTTTATTTTTATATTCAATGAAAGCATACTCACACAAACACAGATTACATGAGCACAAGCAACTTTAAAAATAACTGTTAATTTTAATTAACAATTAAAGCAATGAAAGTGGCGTACGTCACATAAAGGCCGCAGGGCAATTTCTGGGAATTTAGGAGGCTGTTTTGAACCTGTAAGAGGCATAAGAAAGAGTACCCAATTGCCAGCTATGGTGAATGAGTTCTGCCTTTGAATTTGCGCCGGCAGCACCCATAGCTACATGCAACGGATAAAAGTGGTCTGGCCAAGGATGAGCCATTTTCGCATGTGGTGCCTTATCTTCATAGTGGTTCACATCCTCGTATCTGCACGAAGAATTGATTAGTCAAGTCATATAACAAAAACAATTCAATATCACCAATTGTACAATCTACATACAAGCGTAGATCAGTTTCATATGTTTTTCCCCAATATGATACAAAACATATAGACTTAACGAATTATGAAAGCACTCAAGCCCTGAATGATTACCTTCCTTCAAGGAGAGAATCTTTAAGCCAGGTATCGAACTCTGAAGCCCAAGTAGGAATAGCATCGCTACCGAATTGGAGAACCCTCAGGTTATGAACAGCACTGCCAGAACCGAAAATGAGGACACCTTCCTCCCTGAGAGGGGCCAATGCCTTCCCCATGTTGTAATGATGAGTACCATCTTTGTTCAACTGAACTGAGAGCTGACACACTGGTATATTGGCCTCTGGATACATTAGCATCAGCGGCACCCAGGCACCATGGTCGAGCCCTCGTTTTTTATCTTCTTTAACATGTTTGAAGCCAGCACCTGTAAGCAAGTCCTTCACCTTCTTCGCCAATTCTGGAGCTCCTGGTGCCGGATACTTGAGCTGATAATAACATAATAATTGAGGCAATTCACTACAACGATTGTAGCCTATTGAAAAATTAAAATTCAATCTTAAGACACAAAACTGCAAATAGCTGGCAGTGATTTGTGATATTAAACCATCACAACAACTTCCTCCACTATACATTCTGTTCTGTTTCTTAAAAATAAAATAAAATTCCTCACCATATCATTATTGATCATACAGCTCCCTCAATGTTGATAAATTAACACTGTGCTAACTAATTAAATGCTAATTGCATCAAATTTTGATTACAGCACCAAAAACTTGAAGCCTGAAAGCATTTTCCTTGTATTTTCTTTTAATTACATGTAAAGTTACCATTGCAAGATACACCTACTATAATTCCATTTCGGAATTGAATTGGGTGAATTAGAAAATAGGATAGCCAACCAACTTTGACAAATTATGAGAGAAGTTAAAAGATAGACATCAAAAGAAAATTACTTAATAAAGAATTAAAAGCCGAACTATTAAAACAAACAACCAAATTAAAGAATCAACAACTCAACATCATCTACCAAACCCCCCACTAACTTCAGATTAAACAAGATCATCTACCAAACCCCCACTAACTTCATATTTTCACATTCAATCATCTGTAGCATGGGATAAGATAACTCTTTCGCGAATCAAAGATTTATCATGTAAATAAAAAATGTCTAATAGAATCAAACTATGAATCCTAAAACTAACGAAAACGATCTAAGTCAACGTTCATTCCCAAAACAATTAGCTCAAAATCGCTCCGACTTTACCTCAATTCCATAAAGAAAAGCGTACCTTGTACATTTCTTTTGGGAAGCCATAGAAGTCGTGGATGGTGTCATGTTTTTCAACGGTATTAACAGTGGGAACATCGGTCTCCCAGTGGCCAGATATAACGAGAATTGCTTTTGGTTTCTCAGAAAACGTTTTGTCTTTCCACGCCTTCAAGAAATGCCTGGCTTCCAGAGAGTCGTCAATCGACAACGTGGGGGATCCATGCGAGATGTAGAAGGTATCCATGGCAGAAATCTCTATCTTTGATTTATGGGTTTTGAGTTTGATAATTATAAAAACGAGGATACATTTAGAGCCGGTTTTATAAGGATACGAAGGCTCGACTTTCTTTTGTATTTAATAGCGCGTCGTTGTTGCATGCTATTTATTGAGGAATCAGAATTAGAAGTGTTGAAACTGATTTACTTGAAATATAATTTCAAAACTTGCCATTAAAGTTCTTGTGAACATTGACTGTTGGTTTCCGTTGATGTGACTTACCCAATTAAAAAAATGATATCATACTTAATAAATTGGATACAGCCTATTATTTTAATTAAATAGACGCAACCATCTAAGTTAGAAGCTTCTAGGAAATGTATTTATAAACCGACTATCTAAATTAGAAATTTTTAGGAAATGTGTTTAGAAATAGGCATTACTAGTTTGTATTTAGATATGAATTCTTAATGGTTAGATAAACATAATTTCTTTTGTAAATTAGAGAGTTTTTTTAAGATAAAGAATAATATCAAATTAGTGGTCTACATTAAGCATATACTTATTTTGTTTCCTTTTTTTTTTTTTTTTTTTTAATCTGTTACCATTATTTAACTGTCTTGGTATTTATTGTTGGAGAATTTTGAACTTTAACATTTTTTTTTTTTTTTTTTTTTGTTATCATTTGATAATGGGTAGATCTTATCCACTATGTGATACTCAATGACATAGACGATGACATAATAACTGTATTGCAATTGGCAAAATCTGTAGCTTAATTTATGATAAGAACTTGTATCTTTTACACTTGAACTTTCTAGAGTTTTGACCATTTCATTGTTGACTAATTATTTGCATTTGTTTATAGAATAATAATTAAAAAGTCAGTCAAAAATCAACTTACCAAGTTAATTCTTAGTGGTTTAGCTATATATTTTTAAATTGCAAAGAGAGCGGTTCTATATGCATTTCAAGTATACTCTCCAACAGCCATATTTTACGGGAAGGCCTTTGCTAATATTTCAAATAGTATTTAATCAGTTTAATTTGTCTTCTTAATTTTGAAATAATCCAATACAAATTTATAAATTAATACTTGATTTAATAAAACAAAAATTATTTCTTGTAACATATTAAAGTGCTTTCAAGAAATGATTATTTCTCTTAACTTTTAACAAAAAATACTAATAATTATTGATCTATTGTATTAATATGAGGTTTCATTTTCTTTTAGAATTTGAAGATGGCTAGAGTTAAAATCTAATTTTTTGTATTCCTCTACGAAAACCTTTTTTTTTTTCTTTCCAAAAACTCATTGAGATACAATTTTATTGATTTTTTTATTCAAAAATACTACTTTTTTAAAATAATACGTTCTAGAATTTGGAAATCACAACAGAAAAAACTTTTCTAATTCTCTATCAATATCCCTGTTGAACCTCGTTTTTTCTTTTTTATAATTAAGAAAATGAAAATACACAAAGAACATATGTGAGAATTATTTTGTATTTTTTAACTTTAGAAAACGTGAAAAAACTGTTTTTCTCTATTTTTGAAGAGCAAATCTCAAACCAATGGGTAGATATGATGAGAACTGAATTGGGTTTCTGCGCATACCCTTGGTCTTTCCAAGTCTTCACCCTTCAAAAAACGTCCGGCAGGAAGCAACTCATCAATGGAGAATATGGGAGATCCATGTGATATAATGTGAACGTGACCATCATAAATATATGTGATCAATTTGTACATGTGATGTGATTTTGAACTTAATTACAATATTCTAAGATGGGACTGTTTGTTTAAGACCTAAGGTGAACGCCATAATTAAATTATATAAATTCCAAATCCTAATTTTGAGTAATTGATAAATGTGGAACGTGGTGATCACAAAGATAGATAGGCTGAACCGTGAAGGTGTTTCAGTCCAGGTACATGAAGGGTTTGTTGGTAAACGTGGGCAAATATTCAAATTGGATTTGAGGAGTCGATGTTGGACCATTTGGCATAGTGTAACGACCCGATTGCTTCCCTTCGGACTCGTTCGGCCTTAGGTGCTAATCTCCAGACGATTGCCCTAAGTCAGCCTTGCTTGCTCACGCTCCTAGCCCTGCAAGTAAGAAAACACTCACACAAACTCACAAGATATGCTAGAAGAGAGATCTTTACTAATTGAGAGAACTTTACAATTCTTGGATGGTTTGGCCAAATGAAGGCCTCCCCCTTTTATAGTAGTTGGAATGTACAATGAACGGTCTAGATCGTCCGAGATCAACGGTGGAGATTAGCTAACTCCCAACTACCACCTACCAACTACTATCTACCAACTACCACATTAATTANTTTTTTTTTTTTTTTTATATTTTGTGTTGTTTGGTTTTAGCATTTTTGGCTTCTTGTCAGAGAAAAGGAGCTCCACCTGTTTCGGTGTAATTTTTCGGTGTAATTTTTTCGGTGGATATAGTATTTTTGTTTTAGAAAACAAAACAATATCACTATCACTAACTGATGATCCACCGCATTATCTTACACGCGGCAATATATCTTAAATGTTGGCGATTAAAAAGTTGGGTCCTGCAAAAGATAATTAAGTCTTAAACACTATGACGATTTTTTAAAAGTACTAAAATGCTTTTCAGATAACTACATTTGTATTTTCATATTTTAAATTTATTTAAAGAACAAACTTTTCTAATACTTTATCAATATCCCTTGTTGAATCTCGTTTTTATTACTATAACTAAAATGAAAATACACAAAGAACATATATGAAATGAGAATTGCTATGTAATTTTAAACTTAAAAAAATAGAAATAAAAAATCTATCATTTTCTCTAATTTTGAGGAAGACAAATCCTAGAATTTTGAGAACACCCTATATATATTCCAAATCCCTTGAGTTTGAATCCTTTACCTAGAAGAGGAATTGGTAAAAGTGGAATGTGTTGATGACAAAGAAAGGGATATGTATTTGAAGAAGGTGAGACAGGTACATAAAGGGTTTGGTGGCAAACGTGGGGTACATACAGGATTTGATGACAAATAAAGGGATATATATGTGAAGAAGGTGAGACAGTCAGACAGGTACATAAAGGGTTTGGTGGCCAACGTGGGATGATATTCAAAAGTAGATTTTGGTGTGGTTGGACCATTTGGTATAGCCAGAATTGATGGATTAGAAAATACGGGTGGTTCTGGTGAGTTGGTGTTGCTAGGATTGGAATTTGTCGATCTATGTAAGCCCATTGGTTTTGCTAGAAGTTGATGTGGCGGTTGAGCGCAGGTGGCTGACGGATATACTTCTTCTACCTGCACTCAAACATCGAATCGGAATTCGGTAGTGGCTTGTCAGAGCCAAATAGTCATTGTCGGCTTTGACAGTGATTGTCATAGTGCAATCCAATTTTTATAATGTAAAAAAAAAAAAAAAAAAAAATGATTAACTTAATTTATTTTTTTAATTTGGTTTTTAATAAGATTACTTTATAATTTGATATCTTACAAAGGGCTTTACGACTGAGGAAAAAAAAAAAGGTTGAAAAGACTTCAATTCGAAGACATTCTCTGTAGAGGGATTGAAGACCAAGATTCTCAGATCCGATCCATCTCTCTGCAATCATCAAATTAAATCAACATGTCTTCAACATTCAGTGGAGACGAAACTGCTCCTTTCTTCGACTTCCTCGGCGCTACTCACTACATAAAAAATGGCCTACGGTAACATGCAAAAAGTGTTACCATAGGTAATTCGAAGCATTTATAAGGATGCTATGACAGCCCATGTTACTAAAAATTAGACATTGGTAACACTTTTTACATGTTACTAATCATTTCAGTAACTTTCATAAAATGTTGTTGTTAAATATATTATAACACTTATACGTAGTTACGAATGATTTTTAGTAACATTAGATAAATGCTATAAATAAGTTTTATGTAACATTTTTAACCTGTTACATTTTAGTTTTCTATAATATTATCAAAATGCTATAAATAAGTTTTCTGTAACATTCTTAACCTGTTACAGTTTAGTTTTTTGTAACATTCTCAAAATACTATAAATAAGTTTCATGTAACTTTCTTAACCTGTTACAGTTTAGTTTTCTGTAACATTCTCAAAATGCTATAAATAAGTTTTCTGTAACTTTCTTAACATGTTACAATTTAGTTTTCTGTAACATTCTCAAAATGCTATAAATAAGTTTTATATAACATTCTTAACCTGTTATAGTTTATTTTTCTGTAACATTCTCAAAATGGTATAAATAAGTTTTCTGTAACTTTCTTACACTGTTACAGTTTAGTTTTCTATAACATTCTGAAAGTGTTATCAATGTATCTGTTATAGCATATATAAAAACTGTTACACCATATATAAAAACCGTTACAATTGTTATTTTAATAATACAATTTATAAACAATGATACACTAATTTCTAAAGAACATTTCATTGATGGTGAACCTCCATATACAAAAAGTTTGCTTATATGCCTAATAAATAGACACCCAACATCCTTTACATCCATAAAATCTAATATGCTTCATATTCATATTTTGTAACATATAAACCTTCATATACAAAAAGCTTTATATATGCCTAACAAATATATGCCAATCATTTTTACGTTATAATACCTAGATGATTGGAAAATTAACTATGAACAATAGTTAATACTTTCCAATCATTCAAAAAATTCTAAAAACAAAAATCATCATGCATACCATCTTTCACTCCCAATTGTGCTTTACCAAAAAAGTACTCTTGCATTTTCACAACCTACAAAACCATTAATACAAAAAACATCTTAAATTCCCATGTATATTCTCAAAGATGACAACACACATTTATTGTAAATTCAAGAAAAGATTAAGACAAAAGCACCCCAAATATTTAATGCAAAAGAAAAAGGAAAAGAACATGTTTAAATCTTCAACTTCACAATCACTAGTTCTAAAAAATGACACCATGCAAGTTTAAAAGATCATATTTTCAAATCTTATCTCCAAATTATATCATTATAATATATGTTACAATATTATAATATTTGCAAAGAACATTTTTGCAAAAATGCCGACTGTAAAATTGCAGACTGTAGTTTGCACACCATCAAGAATCTTTCTCCACTCAATTAAATAACAAAGAACACATTATTATGGTATAGTGCAAAACCTTTAAAGTTTTACAAAGACAGTAGAGTGACCTACTAAGATATATTTCATGTCATGGTACACAATTTAAATAAAAATTAAAAACTTTTGAAGATAGATCAAACTCTATACATAAATTGTGTGTTCATACAATTAAAACATTGAATACATATATACCTCAACATGAGAAAATTTAGATACTTAGATAATGCATACCTCACCAGCAACTACACTAATGCATGAGGAGTAAAACCTTGCCCAAAATTTCCTGCATCCAATAATTTAAAAGAGCAACAGTAAGTTTCTAAGTTATAACTCAACCTCAATAGGAAATAATGAAGCCCAAACCCTATTTGAACTATACAACATATAGTAAAAAACACACCATTTTACATGGGCAAAGTAATGATATTGCAACACTATAATGTAAAGTAAAAGAAAAAAACACAAAACAAAATATTCTCGGAAGTGAAACAATAAGTATTTGATCATAAGGTTTGTCAAACATTAATAAGAGGGAACCTAAGTTATTTTCTCCCAATAAATGAAGAAAAAGAGAAAATAAGTCTCACTTGCGACATAAACCAACTTCACAGGTTACTAGACATTTCCAAATCCATCACCTTAAAATATATACAGAAAGGCTAATAACAATGTCAACATAGTAGAGGGGGCAACCTTCCATAAAACAAATGTAATATATAAGTACGTATTCTGGTTTATGCGTCTAAGAAAATAATGCCAACACATCAGGAAAAAAAAAATTATTCAGCCAAGAGGGTTCTCTCTCAATTATGCACTATGACTTATTTTTTTTTTTTTTTTAATTGATAACTATTGACTTATTATTATTTTTTTTTAATTGATAACTCAGTACTCCATAAAGTTTTATGTTTCTTTTATTTATTTTACAGGAATGCAAAAGTTATCATTCAGAAACTTGTAGCAAGAAAGTTAGCGAGATTTCAAAATTAAATACTTACAGTTAAGTACTCCTTGTCGCCATCCCAAACAATCATTTTTGGCAATTTTGACTTCTTATTGACCCCAAATGTATCAGCAAAGCCTCCCCACTGTTTAATGCCAACATATGAAAAAACTAAGTCACGATTTGCAGAAGCAGCAGCCTTCAACAGCTTGATCAATTTCTCTAACTTCTCATCAGCCTCATCCTCCACCAATGTTATAACAATTTTCCTTTTATCATCTTTCAGCAACTTCGGTGTGTAGTGGTTTATAGGCATGGATAGAGGAAGAAATTTTTTTTTACAAATTCCACGAAAAATTCATTTGCATATTTAGAAAAGGACAGTTGGAACTACTTTTGCTTTGCACAATCAATAGAATTTACAAATGAAAAAGAAAAAAATCCAAAAGTACTCAATAATTTATAACTCAAATAGAAGCAGAAAATCCATAGGGACCACAAGGTTTGCGGAGTTATTAGAATATAAAGAAGAAACCTAAACAAACTAAGATTGTGAGGTACCTCATTCCCAAATTAATAACATTATTTTAGTTTAGTTATCATAGTTGCTGTAAACAAGAACATCCAAGTTCAGTAATAGGGTCCCCAAATTAGCTCAGTTAATCACCTTAAAGCTAAATTTTTTTCTTTGAAATTTATGTAATGTTGGACTATAATGCACCATGGGCTTGGATTGAACACTAGTACAATCTCAAGCCAAGAAACTATTTCTATGGACATGGCTTAGGAAAAGCATATTGGGGTTTTTCGGGGTTAGCTGTTAAATTCTTTTTAAAAGATGTATAAATTGTTTAGCAAAAACAGGGAGGGAAGGATGGGAAGAACGGTTACTTCAAATTTAGAGACAATGAGAGACCTGTCAACACAAAAGCAGATCCATGTAACACCCTTTCAATTAAAAGTAAATTCTTGAAGACCAACAGAGATCTACTGACTACTAATTGACCATCAAACTTCTGTCGTCATTGACCATCAAACTTCTGTCATCGTTCCTGAGCTAACTTGGACCAACCATGCTCCTTTAATGATCTTATCAATGATAAAAGGGTACAAAATACTAGAAGCAATCTGGAGATACTGTCTCATCCTTTGGCATACTGAGCTTTTAGTTTCAATCTCCACAAATTCCTTCTTTAAACACAATTTATTCAAACTTTATTCAGTTTGCTCCTTTGTTCGGTAACTCTTTATTCAACCTAACCTCGCCCTCTAAATTATCCATATTAGCAATCATGTTTCCAATGTCACTTTTCCTTTTTCACATTCCAATTCTCCCCATTGCATCCCTTTATAGTTTATGCTCAGGTTTATCAAATCTAACTTTTCATGAATCTAAAGCCCTTGCATTCCTTCAAAAAGAGCTGACTTCCACAACTTCACAAACCATTTCCTCTACTGATGGGACTCCAACCATGTAATACTAAACTAACAGAAATGGAAACCTATTTTATGAAATTAAAGTCTAGTAATATTGAATCATGAGTGAAGCCACTCTGCCGACAACCTATTGTTCAATGTAAGGCTCTGTATACTCTTACTAGCTGAAAATTACTGCCTCATCCCTAAATTAAACTAGAAGCATCAGAAGTGAAAGGGAGAGATTTGGGGGAGAAAACAACAATATGATTATTCCAATAATCAATCAAGTCTACTACAAAATTAAGAATACAGGCCTTACTTAGACAGTGGCAAAGACCTAAACAAATAGGGAAAAAAATCTATTACATAAAACCTACTAACACAAATAAATAAATAAATTCAATTTACAAAAATAAGTCTAACTAAAAAAAAAAAAAGTTGAAAAGTTAAATTCTGAAAATTACTAGATCCTCGATTGTCTATCAAAGATATAAGGTAAGAACACATCATTATCTCCATACCTATCACCAAAACTCCATACTAAATGAAAATTAACTTTCTCTTTTGAGGTTTCAAATAATGGGCTTTAATTAGTCTTTTCAGCAATACAAGTACTCAAACATTCAATTGCAACTACTTGAAAAACAAGTGAACGATATGTAACCTAAAATTGCTACTCCTGACCGGATAAATGCAGGGAGAGTAATAACCCTTGCAAATATACAAATGAAAATTGACTAAATAAATGAATCTTGAAGACAGACTACTATAATGTTGCCCCTTCATGTTTGACTCAAAAATGACTTTCTTGTGTGAAAAAGGTTTTCATTTGCATCTAATTGAACATTTTAAGAAAATCTGGAAGCACACATCAAACAAGATGAAATCAAGATCATGCATAAACACCTTAGCAAAGACATATCATTCAGTAACTTTTTTTTCCCATCAATTTGTTCTTCCACTAAAACAACTGAAGCCCATATAGAAATGAAGCTCTAAAAAGACTAAGAAATTTAGATGTCATGGTAACCATTTAAAGCAAAGGCAAATATCTAGTAGAAAAAAGTGTTAGCAGGCAACTAGCTTTCAATTTTTCGGAAAGCAAGATTTGATTATCATGAATTATATAAAACTTTAACACAATTTACCAACTGAAGTAAATAGATTATTTGAAGACAAACTAACCTTCAAAGGGCCCATAAAAGATATTGCGTTCGTTGTAAGTTGGCTGAATAGCAACCAGCGCTGGAGCTTTGTCAAAATCATACAACACCATCATATCCTTAGAGAAATCCTTTGTCATAGCAAACCATGCCTTCTTCTTATACTTTAGGGCTAAGTTAGATATGATTGACTCACCCAAGCCAAATCCAGTATATATAGGAAAGAAAGTACTAGCATTATCAACAAAATCTTTGATCTCAGCATCCGAATTAAGAATGGACAGGCCCAAGAGAGAAACATAAGAGGCAGGGGGCAAAGTGAACACAAGCCCCGAAGGACAAGGAGAGCAGGAGGCCACTATACAAAAAATCTATACAGTATTCACCGGAGAGAAAAGAGAAACCCAGCAAACGGCAACCTAGACCACAACGAGAGGAGCAAACATGATCAATCCCATAACAGCCAAACAAAAAGCAATAGAGGAACCAGCCCAATCAAGGAAGGCAAATAGGATATAATTCAACCTAGAGGGAAGTAACTGAAAAAGGGACGAAGCAAAACGTCCTCTAAACTTTGGTAACTCGAGACCACCAGAAAGGGACACCACACCACAAGGAACATCAGAGCTAATGTAGCACAACTAATAAGATTAATAAATTTGAACAGTGGCCCTCAACAGACAAAGCATAATAAGAGAGTAGTGGGTATCATGGAACCCTCCTATTAAATTGCCATCGTAGAATTCCACGACCTACTGCCTCATTTCTAATGCACAAAAAGTCCTCCATAAACAACAAAATAGAAGTTCTTTGAACCATTCAATGATTTGCAGATTGAACATGAAAGTGGAGGCGAAAAAGGGGAAGATTTTGAGATGGAAATAGAAAGATTGGAGTCTGAAGAAGGTTTCAGGAATTAGGTTGGTACATGTAGAGTTGAAATGGCCACCATTAGAGAGCCAAGAAGAAGAAGAAAAGGAACAGAGATGTTGGTGTAAAATCTATGGGTTTAGGATTAAGAAAAGAAAAGGCAAACTCTGTAACTCAAAGTAAATATTGAAATGGTTACCTGGTCGAAGAATTATTGACACCTTGACACCACAGTTGGTCGCTCGCCGTCGTAGAGAAGATTTTTGCCATCTGGGAATGAGACAAAATCAACCTCATTTCATATTGACGGGAATAATATTTTGTTTCCCGATAAATAATTGGGTTTATGGTAACACTTATAAAATGTTACTGTATTTTGATTATATAGTAACATTATAAAAAAGTTACAATAGTATTAGGTATATTGTAACATTTTAAAAATGTTATTGTCGATATATTTTTCATAACATTTAAAAAAAAAAAAAGGTTACCATTGATATAAAATGTGTTACAAAAAGTTAAAGTGTTACATATACAAATTGTAATCTGTTAACCAAAAGATTAAGCTTCACTAATGCAAAAAGATCCAAACAGTAGAAAACACATGCAAGGTCAAATTTGTACCAACTTCAGTTCACACTTTTTATCATCTATTAACGGCATGCAAGTCGAAAAACAACTTGCACTATAAGTTGCAAAACAGATACAAGTTGGCTTTATCATCTACTAACGACATGCAAGTGGGAAATACAAGTTACAAAACAGATACAAGTTGGCCTGCAAGTGGAGACACAAGTTGTAGATCAAACGAACCATATTTCTTGTATTTACTTAGTCTGTTAGTGATCAAACTGTGGAGAAGAATAGTCTGCAGTATAAATTTTGTGATAGTTTACTGTTCTGTAATGAAATATGAAAAGAGTTTAGTGCTCTGTTATTTCTCTCTTCATCCTCTCGCATTTTCCTTTACAGTCATCTTTCTCAGTTTTACATGGTATCAGAGCTATCTTGACACACGTCAATGGCAGATCCAAGTACGCCTTCACCTTCTGGTGTTGGTTCGATTGAGAAAATGACAAACTCCTTCTCATCCACAACTCTAAACAACACTTTGCCCATTATCAATGTGAAGCTAGGAGAAAGGAACTACGTATATTGCAAGTCCCAAGTCTTCCCAATCTTGAAAGCTTATGAGTTGGAAAGTTTTGTCACATGTGAGAAACTGTGTCCCTCTGCTTTTATTCTGTCCTCAACTGATGAATCTAAGAAAGTAATTAACTCTGACCATATCATGTGGAAGAAAATAGATCAATTTCTATTTAGCTGGTTAATCTCATCCATATCCAAAACTATGTTTAGGCACGTCAATGGCAGAGCTATCTTGACACACATCAATGGTAGATCCAAGTACGTCTTCACCTTTTGGTGTTGCTTTGATTGAAAAATGACAAACTCCTTCTCATCCACAACTCTGAACAACACTTTGCCCACTATCACTGTGAAGCTAGGAGAAAGGAACTACGCATATTGGAAGTCCTAAGTCTTCCCAATCTTGAAAGCTTATGAGTTGGAAAGTTTTGTCGCATGTGAGAAACCGTGTCCCTCTGCTTTTATTATGTCCTCAACCGATGAATCTAAGAAAGTAATCAACTCTGATCATATTATGTGGAAGACAATAGATCAATTTCTATTTAGCTGGTTAATCTCATCCATATCCAAAACTATGTTTAGGTACGTAGCAAATTGTGAGACAACCTATGATATATGGCATACCTTAGAGATGCATTTCTTGACTGATTCTAAGGCTAGAGTGTTGCACTTAAGAAATCAGTTGCAAACCACTAAGAAAGAAAACTCTAGCATAAACAAATATGTACTGAAGATGAAGGAGATTGCTGGTTTTCTTACTGCTAATGAAGTAACCATAAATGATGAAGAATTGCTATTATATATCCTTGATGGCTTTGGCTCTGAATATGATGCCAATGGTAGCAACCTTAATGTCAAGGAGTAGTGAAGTATCTCTACAGGAAGCTCAATTCCTACTGTATAAACATGAGATGAGGTTGGAAAAATAACATGCAGCTTATATAAGCTTTCATGAAGTTGTTGCATTCTTAGCAACTAAACAGTCTTTTTCTTCAACTCAAAACATGCCGCTGCAAAATAGTTCAGAACAGCCAACACAACATCTCACTCAATCTCTACCTCCAAACCAAAATGAACACAGAAATTCCTATCAGATTGGTCAAAATTTCCAGAATTATAATCCAAGTTTCGGCAGAGGCAGAGGCGGAGCCAGGAATTTCCATAAGCCAAGATTATTTTGTTAATTGTGTGGGAAAAGTGGTCACATGGCCCTTCAATGTTACCATCGGTTTGACACTTACTTTCAAGGGAATCAAAATCATAAATCTCACTTTGGAATGGACTATAATATGACACAACAATCTACACAAATGACAACTCCTGCTCAAGCCTATTTTGTAAGCACACAGTGTTAGGAAACGATCCATTGAGGTAGAGGAAAACAAAAAATTAATAACAACACGGATTGATCCATAGAACCAAGATCAGGGCACAAATTTACAGTTTATATCAAAACAAGAATCTGTAGAAAATTAGTTTAGAGTTTAGGAAATCATATGCACGTTTGAAGGCTCCTCCAACTTTGTCTCTGAACGTATTTTGCTACCGACCCAAGTGTAGGATCGAACCGACATAGTCCACACGAAGATAATCGGAAGGAACTAAAGTGGGATTTGCTAGATCCTCTTTAGCCTTAAGAACAAAGAAGGAAAATGAAGAGCATTTGATTTTTCAATCAAAACTAAAACTGGCGTGGGAGAGAGTGTTTTGGGGCTGTGGGGTTTTTCTTTTTCAATGAAAAGAATGAATAATGAAATCTATCTTATTCACAAAGAAACCTTTTTCTTTTATAGTGATGTTTTAATTGCCTTTTTCCCATATGGAATAGGCATGGGCTCTAACCCAAGCACCCCATGTTTCCAAACACTCCCAATTAGATATTGTAATATTAGTTCATCATTATCTCAATTAAAATCAACATATATATATATATATATGTTAACATTTAACAATAATGATAACTTATTTAAATATATGCGAACACATATTTATATATGTTAACATTTAACAATAATGATAACTTATTTAAATATATGCAAACACATATTTAAACGTAATCTCACTTATTTAATTTTTCTAACAAATTAAATAAAGGCTATGACCTCAGCAAATTTAATTACACTGTGAAATTACCAAAATACCCTTTCACATAAAAAGATGAAAACGCCCTTCTTACTTCTTGAGTCTTAAATTATCTTCTATGAGTGTGACCCATAGGCTCCTCATCATATTGGTAGTGTATGGTATCGCGATTAACACCAATTAATCGTCTCACTATACACAGACCAAGATTGGCCCCTAACAAGGCATCATGGCCCCTAACAAGGCATCATGGCCACCCGATAGATTCGGATTCAACAAAGTAGCTACCTGTCAACAATATAGTTACCATACAATTCGATCCTTTCATCATCCGTTATCTCGACGAGACCAAGACATAGAAATAATGTCAACCTTCGGTTACTCTCGATATTGTGTTTTCAGTTACTAGACCAATAACCTATATTATAAACTGGATAGAGCAACAATTCAATCCCACTGTAGCCATAGTTTTAGTGTCATTGTCATTTACTGAATTGCGTCGTGAGATAACTTCTCCCGTACTCGAGAGTGATGAATCCTCTGTCTATCCACCATAGTTTTGATACACTCCTTGATGTAGTCAATCACTACCGTATTGACAGCTCTGAATAGAATTGCGTTAGGCTAGTGTCAAACTACACCAATCGGTGCACAAGGTGCTTCGGTGATCTCAAGTCTAAGGATCACATGCACCACCATTCGTTAGAGGATTTGTTTCATAGACACTGGGGTTACCATCCATATGGAATCCTCTGGTGGGTCAGTCCAGTGAACTTGCCTACAACAAGCACCCATGTGTTGCACTAGGTTGTCACCAAACAACCTTGACAAGTGAGATCAGTCACTGCCTTTCGACAGGGTCGTTCAACACTATGATAGCCTTACCGTATTATCTGTGCCCTTACTTCAGAATAATACTGGGGCTACGGACGTTTCTAGAATGGCCACCATATGTGCTCATAGGGTTCTCACTATCAAGATTTGAAACACTTGATACCCTCGTCACGGTTCTACCATTCTAAGGACATATATCAATACATATTGCAATAATAATGATTTACGCGATATAGAATAAAATGCCTTTTTTTATTGATTAATGAACATTATTACAAAGAGTCAATTCTACAATAATTGATTGGCTCTAGGGCATCTACTCTAACAATCTCCCACTTACACTATAGCCAATCATTCATGTATTTAATACCAAATGATCTCAGGTGCCTTTCATGCTTCTGCTGCGACAAAGGCTTTGTCAGTGGATCTGCGAGATTGTCGTCAGTATGCACTTTACTAATCTACATGTCTTTCCTCTCAACTATCTCTTTGATGAGATGGAATCGTCTGAGTATGTGTCTGGACTTCTGATGAGACCGTGGTTCCCTGGATTGAGCAATTGCTCCATTGTTGTCACAATAAATGTCTATAGGATCAACAATCGTGGGAATCACACCAAGTAACGAACTTCTTAATCCAGACTGCCTCCTTGGCCGCATCTGATAATGCAATATACTCAGCCTTCATTGTAGGGTCCGCTACAGTGCTTTGCTTGGAGCTCTTCCAGCTCACTGCACCACCATTAAGACAAAATACAAACCCTGATTACGATCGATAATCATCTTTGTTCGTTTGGAAACTAGCATCACTATATCCTCTTATAGTGAGCTTATATTCCCCTCTATAAACCAAGAACATATCCTTAGTCCTCTTCAGGTACTTAAGAATATTCTTGACAGTCATCCAGTGACGCTCACCTGGATCCGATTGATATCTACTATAAGTGCTCAAAGCACACGAGACATTAATCCGAGTACATAGCATGGCATACATGATGGATCCAATTGTTGATGCATATGGGATCCTCTTCATCATATCTCTCTCGTCTTATGTTCTAGGACACAATTCCTCAGAGAGATAAACACCATATGACATTGGAAGAAATCCCTTCTTGGATTCTTCCATACTGAATCTTTTCAGGTGTTCGTCAATATATGCACCATGACTTAGGCCAAGCAACCTACGCGATCTATCACAATAGATCTTTATTCCAAGGATGTA